CTGAGGACGGACGGGGAGGTGGGGGTGAACCCCAAGGCTCCAGGCTCCACCTGGAGACAAGACAGGGCCCCCTGGGAGGGTCTGTCTGTGATGTTGCAAATGGACAGTGAACCAAAGGGTTTCTTTTATTTTTTAATATATTTTTACTGATTTCAGAGAAGAAGAGAGAGGGAGATCGAGAGAAACATCAATAATGCGAGAGAATCATGGATCGGCGGCCTCCTGCATGCCCCACACTGGGGATTGACTGCAACCCAGCCTGTGCCCTGACGAGGTGCGGGGAATGGACTGTGACCTCCTGGTTCATAGGTCGACGCTCAACCACTGAGCCACACCGGCCACGGGGCCACCAAAGGGTTTCTGACTCTTCTGGACCCTTCTCTGGAGCTTGAGTAAGACCCAGGCTCCCACCCAGCCTCGGTTTCCCCGTGTGGAACGCACTGTGTGTGTGGTCACGGTTGCTGTATGTTGACTTACAAGGAGAGGGACCCAGCCTTTGCAATGAGCCAGAGCTGTGGCAGGACCACCCGTTGTCTCTCTAGCTGCGTGACCGTGAACAATAGGCCCCCAGCCTCAATTTCCCTCACCTGTGAAATGGGTGCATTCAGACCCAGGGGGTCAGAGGAAAACCCTGCCCCTTAGGCCCAGCCCAGAGCGGGTCCTACTGGGGATGGAGCCCGAAACCTGGGCATGTGCCTTTGACTGGGAATTGAACCAGGACCCTTCGGTCTGCAGGCCAATGCTCTATCCACTGAGCTAAACCAGCTAGGGCTGTTTTTATTGATTTTAGAGAGGGAGGGGGGGGGAGGGGGAGAGAAAAATACTGATGTGAGCCCTAACCAGTTTGGCTCAGTGGATAGAGCGTAGGTCTGCAGACTCAAGGGTCCCAGGTTCAATTCCAGTCAAGGGCATGTACCTTGCTTGCAGGCACATCCCCAGTGGGGAGTGTGCAGGAGACAGCTGATCGATGTTTCTCTCTCATCAGTGTTTCTAACTCTCTAACCCTCTCTCTTCCTCTCTGTAAAAAATCAATAAAATATATATATT